TGCAGGCACCATATGACATGGTATTCGTGATAGCTGTTGTACACGTCATTTCTAAGCGTCCATCATTCAGCGCTGAAACGCGAGGCGTTTTTCTACGTGCCGAATTGGGCGAGTAGAAACGCGCCTCATTTTCTATTTTGTCAACGCCAAACAGTCCCCGGGTGGCACTTTTACCCCAAGCAGCGGTCGCTCATAGAATTCAACCATACAAAAAAACAGAGTCGGACAAGGAGGTAAAAAAAACACATGGAGTGGAATCTCCCGCAATGTCTTGCCAGCATAGTGAAGCCAGCTTTTGCCCCCAAAGATGTCCGAAACATGTTCTTTTCTGGTCATGCCCACTTAAAGATCAAGTAGCCTTGGTCAGTAAGTCTAAAGGTAATGTTAATTATAAACTGAAAGAATGAAGTTTCCGATGAAACCCCCACACAGACGATTATCGGTGAGGTATTCTCCAACAATTTGCCTTAAATTTGAGGCTTAGTGAAGAGCACTAGTAGCACAAGCACCATACCAGCCATAGTAGCGCTTTGAGCACCATCTCAGCCGAAAAGGTTACCACATTAAACTCGTTAAGCGTGCGAGGAAAATCCTCCTTCTCAATTTCGAAGTGCTAAGAGCTCGTCACGCCACTAGTAAGATGCTGCCGCTGCCGCCCTTAAATTGGCATGGCTTCACCCATGGGCAAGAATTTCGGCTCCAGCAATTTTAGGGGGGAAGCTTTTTATAGCCGCACCGTTGGTCCCTCGTAGCCGCTGCAGCATGTAACAAGTGTAAGATTTTCCTACAAGGTGGTGCCAGTGGAGATTTTTTTCTGTGCGTTCTTGAACAATACAAAATAGTGCTCAATGTTCATGTCAATGGCTGCTAATGGGATGAGAGACAAGAGCATTCGCCTCTTGGTTAACGTGCACGCTGCGATCCCCATTAGCAGCCATGGCACGTACGTACATTGAGCACTATCTGACAAAAAGCGTTGCTACGTTATACTCGCTGGGTGTAACCTCCTTAGCTTTAGAAAGGTTTAGCGAGCGTTCAGCCGCAATGCCATGAATACAATGAACTAGTATATACCATGAATGAACTCGAGGTGGTTAAAGATGGAAGTAGATACGAAGCGCAAGCCGTAGAAAGTAAAAGCCGAAGTTCTAGTGTCTCTCATTCCCTTAGCAGCCATGGCAATGTACATTGAACACTATCTGACAGGAAAAGGTTGCTACGTTATACTCACTGGGCGTAACCTCCTGGGTTTTAGAAAGTTTAGCGAGCGTTGGGCCGCAGTGCCATGAATACAGTGAACTAGTAATATCCATGACTCGAGGTGTTAAAGGTGAGAAGTAGACCCGAAGAGCAAGCCGGAAGAAAGTGTGTGTGTGAAACCTCTCATTTAGTCCTTGGAATGTCCTCTGGATAGGCGGTGCTTCTATATGGGAATATATGATGAAAAGATGCTAGGTGGTGGTACTTGTCGTGTTGAATAGTTGGACGAATGGACACAGACAGATGCATGGATGGACGCATGAACAGATGCAGGGCGGATGCATGGACGAACGCAGGGACGGACGTACGAAGAGACGCACGCACGGACGGGCAGATGGACGCATGGACGGTCCCACAGACGGACGCATGGACGGACGGAGCATTAACGATTGAACGGACGAATGCTTCGCCCCACTGTCCATCATTCACTCCATGGATATGCTGCCATTTTTTTTCTGGTTGCGCATGCACCTATGATCTCAAGGCTTTGCTGAGGTCACAGGTGAGATCATATATATAATATATATATATATATATATAGATATATATATAATATATATATATATATATATATCTATATATATATATATATATATTAAAAAGGGAAAGAATGATACCTAAGGGCTCGTTTTTCCGTGTTTTGACACAATATTATGAGATCTAACAGGCAGTAATGCCAAGGAATGCACAGGGGAAGTTATTAGAACCAATGGAATGTAAATAAGAACAAAAAAAGTGGATAAAAAAATAACCGCCGTGAGCAAGATATATATATAATCTATTTAGTACTGATGGATTGTATACTCGGCAGCAACTTGTCTGGCAGCACAGTCAAGGCTACGAAGGCCAAGCACAAGCACGCCCTTTTTACTACGCGTCTGCATGTAGTCCACAACTCCTAGTTTGACATATATAACTTAGAATAAAGGAAAATATAAAAATAAAAAAATATAAATATTATGTTCAGGATTGTTCGCATTTTTATTCCAAAGCTTACACCATGCGGAATTTTCATTCTTTGCCAGTTATAACTTTCTGTTCTAATTTCTGTTGTCATTTCACCTTTCTCCTGCGCCGGTAAACAGCGATGGCATCGCTCTGTTGCAGCATCTCATCGAAGCCTGTGAGCGAACCTGAGTGTGTGTTCGGTAGGTGATCTGTGTTCACCGAGAAGGCAGAAACGAAGACAGGGGTGCGTCGTGAAATATTTTGTTTCCCGCATGCGCAATCACCGAGAAATAAAGACGTGTGTGAGTGATTTCATCAGCGAAAGTGGTACTCTACTCACCCTAACCACCGTGAAAGTGACACCGGGGCTCTGCCAGTCTTCAGCAAGACCAGCTGCTTGAAAGCAAAATGGTGATTGTAAACAGTATCTAAAACAATGAGCTTTTTCATAAATTGCGTAGCATACGTGGTTGACATTTCGGTTGCCAACTATTGTTGATACATTTATGCTGAAGATCGCGTACTGTAATACCTCACCCGACAGCGTCTTCAGGAGGAGTGGTTCTTTGCGCCTTGCGATGACAGCGATTTACAAGGAAAAATTACCAGTGCAAAGCTTCGGTGGGCAACAGATGCGTTCATGTAAGTTACGTTGTTGACTATGCCAAACAGTGTTCCTGGTGGAGTAAAGGTTTCGTTTCACCCACTTCGACTTACGAACATTAGACGCCCGCCCACGACTGGTCGTGACCAATATTCCTGTTACTGGTCGATGCCTTCGCATCTCATAAAAAATAACGTGATCGTCTCTAAACATCTTTGCATCCTAAAAGAAGGGAAACAACGATGCTGACACCCGCTATTCACAGAAAATTTAGGAGATAGTTGTGGCCTCTGCGTTGGTTTTTAATCACCAGATTCTGGTCAGCCGTGCCTTTTTTTGAATAATTTAAACGCTTCATAAAGGTTTCGTTTTTCCTTGTAAAAATTAACGTTTTATTGCTTTCCTCCCAAAATAAGTACGTTTATTTGTATACTGTTCAGACCAACATAAGTACATGTTATTGCTTTGCGGAAGCAAACCTAAACCGCCCGCCAACGAACCTGTTGGCG